GCTGTCAAGAGAGGTGTAGGAAGGATGTTGAGCGTTGTTTTGGTATCCTCCAAGCTCATTGGGCGATTGTCAGGGGTGCTACCAGAATGTTTAATTTAGAGTCGCTTCGATCCATCATGATGACGTGCATCATTCTTCACAACATAATTGTGGAAGATGAGTACGATTATGATCGTTGATGAATATGAGCTAGACACGATGAACAATTCCAGAACACAAATATATTGTGCTCATGATGCCACCGAATAACCCGTGTAACATGAGCCATTACAAAGGGATGAATGCTATAATGAAAGGCTTATTCAACGATATACTGCACTTTATGACCCATATATGCACAATGCCCGGCAAATTGACTTGATAGAGCACCAGTGGGAATTGAAACAAGCTGAAGAAACTTAAGTTCATTTAGTGTGTTTGTTTTTATTCGGTGTGTTTATTTAGTTTTATTTGGTGTGTTTTTTAAGTTCATTTAGTGAGTTTTTTTATTTATTTGGTGTGTTTGTAATTTTATTTGGTATGTTTATGTAATTTTATTTGGTGTGTTTATGTCCTTTGAATAAATATTCTCTTAGTTTATATAAATTACCAAATTAAATAAATATACTCTTAGTTTAAATAAAGTACTAAATTCAATAAATTGGAAACAACATAAAGTAATCTATTTAATAAATAAGAAATTACAACCCAAAGTGATTGGAAAATTATGGGCTTCGATTAAAAACAAATTCCTTAGTCCCTTGTGAATGGAAAATCATCACCTAACCAATTTGTGGTGCTAGGATCATCTCCTCTTGTGATGCTAGGACCATCTCATCTTGCGGTGCTAGGATCATCTCATATTGCTCTCGCTTCCCTTGCACGCCTCATTCGCACCACGTCTACTTTCTCCGAATTCCAAAAATATTTAGAATTCGGTGACTTCCCCTCTACAGGCTCCTTCATAATGTCACAATCTTGTTGAGCCTTTCTTTCTTCTTTAAGCTCTTCCCTTTCTTGCCTAAGTAGCTCCATTTCTCTCTCATTAGGTTGAAATAATCTCTCAGTAGTTGCAGCTTTTGCCTCCTCTCTAGCTTTATCAGCCTCAAATTTAACCATTTCCCGCGCCAAAGTCAATTCACCTTGGCGAGTAAGTTCTTCCATATATTTTCCATAATCATTCTTGGAAGCACTCCCTTCTCTCTTTGAAGCCTTCTTACCTAGAGGCCTAATTGGATATCGGGTCGACCCCGACGTTTGTTTAGGGGGTGTTTTCAGCACTTCTTCTGTTTCGGTTTCATAAACATGCGAGTCATGAACAGGCGTATAGTGTAGAAGGGTGCTGTTCATGATAACTTCTGGACCGACAAGTACAACTCTAAATTTAGGACAATCTTTGACAATATTCCAACATTCCCACTGAGTGAATGATTTATTTTTGTTTTTGGTTTTGGCATTATACCAAGCTTGTGGTTGAAGTTTCCACACAATGCGGGAGAAGAAATAATTATAATCAAAGTAGCTAATCTAAATTTGGGTATAGTATAAACAAATAAATAATATATTGTTACCTGATCTGCTAAATTTTCCCCACTTCGAAGATTAGAACTAGTTTGTGCCAAGGCGTCTCTCCAAAGACTAAACGATTGGCTGAGTATTCTTCAACGACTGGACATCGATTCTTTAGTTCTTTTCCCACCAATTTTCTCAAGATAATTGGTATGAATAAGACTTCACATTTCTCGCAACTGCATCTCATTACCCGTAATCGGATCATGAGTAACTTCAACCCAGCTAGAACACAACGTAACATCTTCAATAAGTGTCCAATTCGTACTGCATTATTAGTCATTTTGTTGGAAACCAATTGGATTGAAACTTTGAGAGAAAGATTGGAATATGGTTGAAAGTATTTGAGAAAATATGAATTTGTGGTTGAAACTTTGAGAAAATGTGAAATTTGGATTGAAACTTTGAGAGAAAGATTGGAATTTGGTTGAAAGTATTTAAGAAAATATGAAATTGTGGTGTAAGGTAGAAGATAATGAGAAGGTATTTATAGAAAAGTAAAATCATTTTTTTTAATTTTTTTCGGATTTTTAATTAATTTTTAACATTTTTTTATTACCTTAATTAATTTCTGCTGTTGGATTAAAAAAAATTGAAATCCAACCATCCAGAATGTGCCATGTGGCACAACAATAACCTTCTAGAATGTGCCACGTGGACTGTTGATCTCAAATCCAACGGCTGATATTTAGAAAGGTTTCAATTTTTTTTTACCGTTGGAAATTCAACGGTCTAGAACAAGTAATCGTTGAAATCCAACGGACGAGAAAAGCCACGTGGACACCAACGGTAACATTCTGCCGTCCCGAAGGAGGGCGTGCTGGCCGTCACGTGAGAGTGACGTAACCATTTACACAGTTCGGAAGCTTTTAAAATACAATTACTAAATGGAAACCCCCGAGGGTGAGTCCTACTTTTGTGAATTCTGTCAGAACGCCGTTGGGTTTCTCGTGGCCACCAAAGCTCTGCTAACTTGAACCTGGAGGGGCGCAAAACAAAATTGAGTGGGTCAGCAAAACAAAGCTTTTCGAAAATCTTTCATTTAAAACATTTCTAACCCCTCGCTGTAAAACCTGTATACTTTCCCAGAAAATAGTATATATATAAAACCATATATAATCTCAAAACTCAAATCTCAAATCTTTAACATTTTTCAAGAAAATATGCCATGCCATCAATCAAATAATAATCAGGTGAAAATAGGGAATCAATCGGAGACCCTGCAGTTGGTCATGTACGATTAATTCAATAGCTCAATATCCCTCTCAGCCGGAGTCACCACAGTGACCTATACGGCCCTACTCTGCACATCACTCGGAACTACGTAAGGTAGTCTGTACGATGAAAGGTGTAAAAATACGCTCTAGTGCTTCTCTCATCAATCATCAGCGCGCATAACTAAGATCACCCACTAGTCGGAATCACGCCTAGTGATCTATACGACTAGCATGTCGGAACCCTCACATGGTCTGTACGACATCCACCTACTTGGATCCAAGGCGAGCGTGCGGTGTGGTGCATAATATAAGCACTAACACCTAGGGTGCAGGTTATGAGCTGAAAACGTCTCAACATCAATCAATTAAATGAATAATGAACTCACCTGACTTACCTGTGCCTCCACAGCACCATGCAACATGTATGCATCATATATCAATCATATAATTCATATAACAATTCACATTTTCTTCAAATAATTCTATGCATGGCATTTAAAACATATTTTCATATAAAAGCATTTTTCTGGGAAAAACAATAGTATATAGGTAATACGAAAACAAAACTGCCCACTCACCTGGAGTTCGCCCTACAACTTCCTAGCACAATACGCCAAGGCGTCATGACGATCGGTGCCTAAAACAATAATCAAATCCAACCTCAGAATTCATATCGATAGAATATAACTTATATAAAACACATCACTACGCAATTCGATCCGAAAGATCTGCAACTCAGATTTTAAATCCATAACTTCCAAAGGTCCACAATATATCTCTAGGATAACATCCTAAAATTTCATTACCATCCAACGGTCGGATCTCCGTCAATTTCCAAAACCAAGTGACGGTTTACATTCTATTTTGTGAACTTACAACTCCAATTCCGGAAGATTCGTAAATCGGATTCCCAATCCGTAAGTTCCTATAATGCTCAAATATTACGTATTACAACGTATCAAAGTTTGGTGACGATCCAACGGTCGGATCGTCAATTCACCTAAATGCGAAACTATAAAACGTTATTTAAAGCACCTAACCAATAATCGTAATAACTTCTCATACGGTGCTCAAATTGGGTATATGAATATACCACATTGACCTACTCGACGTCACGGACGTCGACAAATTTTTAAAATAATTTTTTGATGTGGCACGCGCCCCCACGCGCCTGGGAAGGCACGGGTCCACGCGCGCCCACGCGCACCTTCTTCCTCGCGAGTTCGCCGGACTGGTTTTTCCGGTGGCCGGAAAACTGGGGAATTTTCAAATGCTTCGTTCTCCTTCGTTTAGCAACCATTTTCTTCGTATAATATATCAATTTAAAGCCCTCAACATTTAGAATCACAATATACTACTTTTAAGCTTCAAAAACAACGAAATCTCACAGGAAAAATCCAAGCAAAACCGGCCAAACTTAACCCTCGTGATCCCGACGTCCAAATCCTTCCAACGAAACACTCCGAGCTTCCTTGGGACCTCACTAAGCTCACTATGAGCTTGGATTGTCCTAAAAATCAACCAACAAAAAGTTCATGAACAGTGCCAAAATCGATGATTGGGATTTTGATGTGAAATCGAAAGATTTCTTACCTGAAATGGGTGTCTTTGAGTTCGTAGAGTCTTCACGAGCACAATGGTGCCTTCACAACCTTCGATCCGTGCTTGTAGGCTTGGTGGTGAGTGTGTCCGTACAAGTCGAGAGGGAGAGAGTGAGAAACTGAGAGAGCAGTGAGGGAGGAGAGAGAGAGAAGGCACGGGGGAATGGAGGGTTGTCCCGTGTGTGGGTGTGGTCCCTTAAAACCATTCCACCCCTATTTCCTAACAACATAAATTACAACCCAATTTTTACTCCAACTTAAAATATTTCCAAAAGTTGAAATATATGAATTTAGTCCAAATAATGTGTCACACACACATACCTTAATACCCGTCAAGGGTAATTCCATCATTTCACGTCCCCACCAAATGTATCTCCGGGATGGGCTGTGACACAAAATATGTCTGGAAACCTTATTTAATATGATAGTTTAATTCAATTAACAAATAAAATTAAAAAACAAACTTTAAATAATAAATTATTGAGAGGGTGAAAAATAACTCATTTTATTGGAAATGATATATAAATGTGGTCTGATACTGTTTATTATAAAAATAATTATTTTCAGGACTATAATACGAAGGAGAGCTAAATATAGCCATTCGATTAGATTAGATATGGTGTTAACTCGTCTCTTAAGGCGCAACCTTTATTTATGTCTCGTTCATCATCAACTCGTCTCTATACTATCCCCCTCTAATTCGATCCAAAACCCTTCGGTCTCTCTCTCTCTCTCTCTCTCTCATCCCAACCCCACTTCATTGGAAAAACTCCGGCGACCCTGGACACGAACGCGGGCGACAAGATCCGTACTCCAACATATTGCTTCTGGTCTGGTCTCCAATTTAAGGAATTAAATTGGGAACTTAGGGCACGATTTGGGTATTTATTTGTCGATAATTTCCGAGTGGGAACTTGGGTTGGTTTTCTCAGGAAAGTTGTGATTTTTTTGGGGAAAATTGGTGGGAAATACGAGTGTAGTTGGGTGGTGTCAGAAGAAAGAGAGGAGTGTTGCCACCGGCGGAGCAGACGGGAGGAGGTGTGTGAGGGAGCTTAACCTTCAATCTTCCCATGTTGATTTTTCCAGGTAATTGAAGGTCGCCAACCTTCGATCTGAAGGACAACAACGAGAAAGGGAGAAAGGGGAAGCGAGGACTGGCTTTGGAGGTTGGGGAGTCATCGGTGGGTGGCTGGGGGTGGTGTTTCGTAGATAGGAATTGGGGAGGGGTCTTTCTCCGATTCTAACTCCCTTCGCCCCTGTTCTCATACCACAATGGCCGCCATGGAAGGCGTTCTCCAGAACCAACCTCCTCAGCCCCAACAACCGCCGCAACCCATGGCGGTGGAGAGACTAAACGACGCCGTGCAGCAGCAGCTGAACCTCGAGGCCGTCAAGACCCGAGCCATCAGCCTCTTCAAAGCCATCTCCCGCATTCTCGAAGACCTCAATGCCTACGCTTACGCCAACACCACGCCCAAATGGCAAGACATCCTAAGCCAGTACTCCATGGTCAACCTCGAGCTCTTCAACATCGTCGACGAAATAAAAAAGGTCTCCAAGGCCTTCGTGGTGCACCCCAAGAACGTCAACGCCGAAAACGCCACGGTGTTGCCGGTGATGCTGTCGTCAAAGCTGTTGCCGGAGATGGAGGTTGAAGACAATGGAAAGAGGGAGCAATTGCTTCATGGGTTGCAGAACCTCCCAATTTCTTCCCAAATTGACAAGCTTAAGGTAATTTAGGGTTTAATTTGGCATCTGGGTTTTTGCTGTTTTGGTGTATGATATTCAAATTTAAAAGTTTCAGTTTGTTGTGTGCAGGCGAGGATTGATATGATTGGAGCTGCTTGTGAGAGTGCGGAGAAAGTGTTGGCTGATACACGAAAAGCTTACTGTTTTGGAACCCGTCAAGGCATTCCGATTGTTCCTACTCTGGACAAGGCGCAGGCTGCCAAAATTCAAGAGCAAGAGAATCTTCTCCGAACTGCGGTTAACTTTGGCGAAGGTAACTTTTTATTAAAAAGTTCTCTACTTTTCTATGGTGCATTGTTGTCAATGACTTGCTTGATCGAATTTGGTTGACGTTTAATTCGCATGCTCTACTATTCTTGGTCAGCTTTGAGTTCTGTCTTCGTATTTGCAATTGGTTCTTTATTTCACCTTCTAATAGTGTCTCTAAATGTTTATGATTTTAGACGTCCCGCCTCTCCTTAAACTTGTCATTCAAAGTGTATATGCTTGTATGTGATTTTTCTAGATGGGTTTGTATATTTATGCAGGTTTACGGTTACCTGGTGATCAAAGACAGAATGCACCTGCACTTCCAACGCATCTGGTAGATGTGCTCAGTGTAGGTGATGGAGTGCAAGCTTTCCCTGAAGCATCGGGTAATAATCAGCTACGTTTTGTTCAATCATGAATCCTAATTTAACCAAGTTTATATAGTTGGTTATATCCACGTCCTTTGACTTTGCCTTAAACATTTTCAGGTATGTACTCAAAGAATATCCCTGTATCATCAAGTAACTTGGCTGGTCAGAGCCCTCTAATGCAGGTTAGATGATAGTCCTCTTAAAGGGCAACTTTGTCTGTTTTAATTCTTCTTTCATGCTTGCAAATTTGTGAGTCAATCTGCTGATCAAGTTATGCTAAATGTTATTTCAGTTTGTGCATGGACTTAATCTTTGAAAGTATTATTTTCATCTTCATCTCCCTCTCTCTGTCTCTTGCTCTCACATTTTGCACAAAGTACAAGCTCACGGATCTCTTTTTCTTTCCTCACATTTTCTCACACCATTCATTCTGGCCATATTTTCGGCATTTATCTCCATCTTTTTTTCACAACACTAGGGAATAGCGAGACTACCACCTCAAAAGTCTCCACTGCTTAGTGTAATACTTTCCACAATGGCCCTTTCCTTTTCCATCTCATTGGGACCCCTTTGCTTCGTTTGTGTCATTGTTAGGTCAAATATATGGTTTTTATGTTCCCTAACGCTCTAGTTATGTTATATTCAATTTGAATTTTTTTATTTTTTTTAACCAAGCGAAAATGAGCTTGATGTTTGAGCATTGAGGATCCTTCTCCTGTTGATCTTGAGATATTGATTGGTGGTCAGGCTGGCTAGTCTACTTTTTTTGGTATCCTCGCCAGCATGGTTCCATCATCTAATCTTTTATATTCATTATCCAGGACTGTCTTCAATAATCATAGTTTTACTTTATAACTGGGTTGAGTTAAGCCCACTTCGATTCAAACCCAATTAGTGGTTAAATTAGGTTTGATTTTTAATTAGATCTGCAACTTAACTTTGTTCAACCTTAGCCCAAACAAGGTTACGTTAAATCTCCTTAGGGCATCTCCAATGGAGAGCTAAAGGGCTCAATTAGCCCACTTTTAACAAAAACCCATCTCCAATGGTGGGCTAAACGGAATCTTGAAAATAGATCCCCGAGCTAAAGGGCTGCTGGGCAAGCCAAATATAGCCCAGTTGAAGGCCTGGGACATCACTGTTGAAGGGGCCCACCACGTGCAAAAGGTATCAGGGATGCTGGGTGGTTGTGATCTGGTGTGGCGCAGTGCACCAGATATCACGCACCCACATGAAACAATCCCCAGGATGTGTTAGTCATTGAAATCCAATGGGTCAGGGAGATGATGGCTGGTCTGGTGTGGTTGTGGTTCAATTTGGATAGGGTGGCTGCTGATGTTTGTTTGAAGAGAGAAGGCTGAAGAGACAAACAGGTTGGGATAAGGATGAAGAATATGAGAGAAACAAAATGACTTTTTTCTAATTACTAATTAATTAGTTTAAAGTCAGGCTTTTTAGCCAAAAGGGTCCTGAGATTTGCTTAACTCCTCACTTTGGTCCCTGAGATTTGAAATCGATAGAATTGGTCCCTGAGTTTGTCCACACTCCACACTCAATCATTTTGATCATTCCGTGAAAAATCTCCATAAAATAAGGATAAAATGACAAAAATACCCTTAATTTTTGTCAAATCATTTTGGCCTATTGTTTATTATATTGAGGGTAATTTTGATACTTATTTAACATAATTTTTTACCGAGGGACCAAAATGATTGATGGTGGACAATCTTAGGGACCACTTCTATTGATTTCAAATCTCAAGGACCAAAGTGAGGAGTTAGGCAAATCTCAGGGACCATTTTGGCTAAAAAGCCTTAAAGTTATTCATGTATATTTTTTTTTGGTTGGAAGTTGGAACATGTATAAATAGAAGTTTTATATATTGTTTTTTCAATAAATAGAAGTTTAATTAATTTAAACATGCATAGTAGTGATGGGTGAGTGATGTACCATAATATTTCTCAATATGCTAACAAGTAATAATATTAGAAGAATAAAATATAGCCCCTGCAACATGGGGGATGGAACTATTCATTTAAAAACTATATTTTTGGTGTGCTATATTTAGGAATGGGGGCTAAATCTGGGACAACCATTGGAGATGGCACTAGTGTGAACTTGAGCTTGATATATAATGATATGGTCTCTTTTCTGTGACAGTTTAAATAATTCAACTATACTATGTTCTGGTCTTCTTACTCTACAATATCAAAAGCAGGTTTCTGGATCACAAATTATGGGAAGGCCGGCTGCATCTCCTGGTGGTCCAAGTGTTTCAAACTTTGATAGCACAACTACATCTCCGCTGCCATATGCCAACTCACCAAGGTCTGGTACAACTATGATGAATACCCCATCTCCTCAACAACAAAGCCAGCAACAGAAGCAACAACAACAGCAGCAACAGCAGCAGAAGTTGATGCAATTACCTCAGCATCAGCAACTCCTGGCTCAGCAACAATTTAGGCAGAATGCAATGCAAGGAATGGGACAAGTAAGGTTTTAAGGCAAAATTATTTGTACCATACTGCAGTTGTGGAACCTTTTCTGTATCATCCATGTTATTAATGTCTTGATGTGGTTCTTTTATTTTCTTTTGCTACATAATTTCTTGACAAATTATCCAAAAAAATAAAAAGAAGATAATTTCTTGACCTGTTATCTAGAGAACGTAACTTTTGACTGTAACATATGTTTTGTAGAATCAGGTGCAACAGCTGCAGGATTTGCAGGGCCAGGCTCAGCAGAAGTTTCAGTCGGTAACTTTGTTGCTAGCTCCTTTTATCCCTTTTTTCTTTCTTCCAGAGCCTGGTTGCATATCTCTACTCTCTGCATAACGAAGCGTGATTATTATTTACTCCTTTCTTGTTGTCATCCTTTAGGAGATCTCTTATGTTTTTCTAAGATTCTAGATGCTCTATTCATTGAAGTTTTCACATTCCAGGGGTGGTTGTGTACTTTAAGATATTATTAAGATATGTGTGATTCTGTTTACTTGGGATGTCCTTTTGTTTTATAAAGTGGAAGAAATGTTAATTAGCACCTAGACATCCTGACAAATTACAAGCCTTTTGCATATGTGCCTATAAGCTGGGCATTCATTATCCTCAATTATTAGAGTTGGATAAGAGTTTGTCGCCTCCAAAAGGATGGTTAGAGATTCATGGGGAGTGAGCAGCTGCTTTCCCCTTGTACTATGTTCGATGGTTTGTAGCCATGATGAGCTTACCTTCCTATCAGAGATGACGGGAAAAACTATTGTTCTAATTTTAGGTCTAGGATTGCAGTGGGCTTGCTATACTCTCTCACATGATATTAGCTAAAACATGTCTTTGGATTGACTACGGGCTGGTTTGGTATTGCTGTGCTTTGAAAAAAAGCTGCTGTGAGAATAAGCGGCTGTGCTGTGAGAATAAGCGGCTGTGAAATAAAGCCAGTAGAGTGTTTGGTAAACTTTTTTGTGAAAGTGCTTTTGGAAAAAAAATCAGGATGATAGTGTGTCTTTTCATTAAAGGAGCACTGTAGCTCCGTGTGCTTTGAAAAAACTAGCTTTTTTTCAAAGCAGCAAATAGCAGCTTCAGCTTTTCCTTTGATTTTCAGCTTATTCTCACAGTAGCTTCCAAAATAAGCCATTTTTTTCAGTTTACCAAACACAAAAATGACCCTCAGCTTTTTTTCACAGTGGCTTTTTAAAATCACCTCAATCCCAAACGGGGCCTACGTCACTCTTCTTCCTTTTAATATTTCCATTTAACCAACTGGTAAGCATTTGCATGAACTTATCAACAATGAAAAAGAACAATTATTTGTCTGCAACTCTCCTCGCGTCCCCCTCTTTTATGGGTTTCTTAATTAATAAATTTTATTTCATTTTTTCTCTAGTTACATGGACAGCATCAATTCTCTCAGTCACTGGGGCACCAGCAATTTCAAGGTCGGCAGTTGCCCTCTGGACATGTACAACATGGCATTGGTCAGAACCAACTTAACCCGGGAAGCCAAATGAATCGCCATCTTAGCCAGTTTTCTGGCACTGCTAATAGTGCATTGTTTAATGCTGCTCAAACGACACCAAGTCAAATGGTTAGATTATATACCTGTTCATCGTCATTTTATTTCATTAAATGTTATTCTTTTATATTTGCCAAATGGAACCGCTTTTTCTAATGCAACATGGTGGGGAAATTTTTACCTAGTGATTAAAGAGAAGAAAAAGAGTGGGAAAGTTCTTGTCAATGGACAATTGCTGTTTTATAATTTCATTATTTCTCTTGATGCTAACGCAGCTTTGATTTGATACATTTTCTGGAGGAAATTAAGAGTCGCTTGCCATTATGTGTTGATCTGATATTTGCATGAAAGTATAGGCCAGAATCACATTTATTTTCTGGCAGGATAGTTTTCTTTGAACAAATTTCCCCCGGTGGTGATTATGTTTAAGTTTAACACAATGCATTTTCATGAAGCTATATCGGAGGGAATGCTTGTATTGTCTTTTGAGAATCCTTTCCAGACTAGCCTGAAGCAGAACATTGAATTTTTTTTTCTATGGGCTGAGTTGAAGTTATTTGCTATTTCTCATGCTAGTGAAGCACGACATGCATAGTAAAAATTAGAAGTCATGGCTATGTTTTTTTTTCATGCCATGTATATTATAATTCCCCCTTCACCGGATGATTCTGTACATCAACTTGTATTGCTTGCTTGTCCATTGATATGCTTGTGTTTGAATACAGTGTAATGTTTGCATAACTCCGCCTCTATGTTGTTTCCCATGCTCAAAAGTGGTATCTATGTCATTTTATCTTCATTTCTTTTCCTGTTTCAGATACCAAACATGTCGGCTACTATGTCCTCTCAATCACTTCTGCCACGAATGCAGGTACATCTCCAATGTGATTAGCTCTATTGTTTATCCCCTAGGTGAATTATTTTAAAAAAGCTAAGCGAGTTCATAACTAATGCATTGGAGCATCGATTGAGCTCCAAAATATGGCTTTGGTAATGAGGTGTCGTTTACTTGGTGAGCTCCTCTAGTTACGACAAATGCGATGACAATCCTTTTTATTATCTTTGTGCTGCACAGTTTGAAATGCCTGGTAACATTCCTCAGAGGAGTCACACTTCCCAAATTTCGAGCGATCAAAGTATGACACAAGCCCCCTTTCTTTGTGTTATGTTCTACTTCGAATATCTACTATATGAATTACGATTCCAAATATCCACTTCGAGTTAATTGGCTCAAACGAAGTTGGGGTCTTTGCTTGCAGTGTTTAATATGGGAGCAGCAAATACCGGTGGTATGATGCCTCTACAACAGCAGCAGCAGCAGCAACAGCAACAGCAACATGGTTCACAAGGTTCCTTCGGAAACATTCCGCCGAATGCTCAGAATCTGCAGTCTAATATGGTAACACTTCAGGGCACACCACAAAATCATTCCAATTTTGGCCAGCAGAGACAGCAAAACCAGCAATAACAATAATTATTCGTGTGTCTGACACATACTCGATAAATATTTAACTTTTATTATTTAGTTCATGAACGTTAATTGTTAGTTCAACTCTCTTGAAATATGACAATTTTAACAACAAAATAAATATTTATTGTGGTTAAATATGATGATATTGGAAATTTGGGGATGTATAAAATAAAAGTTCAAAGGCAAATCGACAACAAGTCCAAAGGGAAAATTGAAAACTCGACCCAATACCCATTACAAAAACGAGATGGTCTCTTTTACCAAAAACCAAAAGGAGGATGGTGTTAGCTTTCAATTGAAGTTTGGGCAATAATCCTGTTCCCAAGCAGTTTTCCGTTTACGGTTTCAGGTCGTCGGGCGTATTTTGTCTTCGCCCTCATTGTTCCCTTGCTTACGAGAACCGCCATGGCTCCTCCTCGATCCTCATAATTCTTTGACTGATGATTACGATGGGTTTATTTTTTAGTCTAGAGGGAAAGTTGTACAAATTGAAGAGCATGCCCGAGGAGTTGCGGAATGATATTTGCCTCGGATGCTCTCTCGGTTGGTTACAATTTCTCGACGAACAAGAAACAGCCAGATCTCGTGCTGTTAGGCTATCTCCAACTGGAAGGGGGCCAAATGACCATGTTTAGTCCTAGTCTTGCAAGAAATTATTTCTTAATGAACAGTGCCAAACTATATTTTATACCATCTCCAACCGAGGGGTCTAAAAGGCCATAGGCAAAAACATAGCATGTTTGACAAAAACCCAACTCCAATCGAAGAGGGCTATTTTTTAGCTCACTTGGTAGTTTATTATTTTAATTGAATTAGACTACCATATTAAAATAAGATTTTTGGATATATTTTGAATGTTATTTCTCGCTAAATGAATACGCATCCGGATTTCTTGTCTTTATATAATGAAAATGATGTTACAAATTAAAATAAAATGAGGTAAAATAGTATGGAATGGTGAAAAGCTGGTGCAAACGGGCTGGTTGGCTCCTTTTGGCCAGCCCACTGGCCTGGTGATGAATTATGGCTTGATGAGGCCCACAAGCCCTTTGTCCTACCCTCGGTTGGAGACAGTTTTTGTGTCGAAACAGGTTATATTTTGGCCTATGACCCTTTGACAGTGTCGATTGGAGATGGCCTTAAATCTCTTGTCTAGGATCCAAATTCCACTCCTTTTCTCGATACTTTTCCACAAGTAGAAACTTTGCAAGTTAGATTTAGCCCCATGGAAAAATACTACACATGATGGTTGATGAAATTGATCATATGAGATATCTCAACAGGCATAGCTATATTAAACTAATAGGAATTTGATTCCTTTCTTGTTCATCCCAAAATGAGGATGTGAAGAAATGTTGTCTCATATCAGAAGTCTACTGAACCTTGCATGAGCTAATATGAAATTGGGTTACTTCCAATATATTTGTCAATTGAGGTTACAATGGAACCTATTTGGTCCCAAAATAATATTTTGGGCCGAGCTTAGAGTTTGGTACCAATTCAGTGTACTTATACTCTCACGAGTATAATTGCCGAGACTAAACCCGGCGCCAACGATTTGAGAACTTTGAAGAAACTAGCAGCCTTGTCTTCAAGCTCTAGAACCCGAAGGCCGATGCGTGTTCGTTTCTCGGCCGCAGTCACTTGATCAAGATGTTAGTTGTTGGAAATGTGCCCTAAAACCAATCATATGATGATACTTTACGGACATTTCACATGTTAAACTAATATAGTTTAATTTAAAGGGCAAAGATTATTGTTTGAAGCCGTCTCATATAAATGTTATACGCTTAAACGATAAGTCCAAGGAATATGTAATTGGGAGAATGCGATCTAAAGAAGTTAGATTCATGAGACCATTCTCTTTCGTATACATATCCTAAACGTTCTTGATCATAAGATTGCCAATTGGACATTGACAGTCCGTTAAGATTAGTACGTGCTATGTCTTTTCTTAGGGAGAGTGACTGGTCTCGAGTCATTGGTGTGACTGACACCAAGACAAGTACATAGGTGCTCAATAGAGAATGAGTTCACTGAACGCGATCAACAAGGAGTTCTCATACTCATGTCACATGAGAACTCATGGTTGGGATAATGCAAAGTAGTCCTTTGACCTGAGGCATCATAGTTGTCTTATGGTTAGGTCTTTGATCTTTGACTATGTCAAAGTCACTCCATCCGAGGATGTCCACGACATAGTTGGGGTTAAGCCACTTAGCCATGAAGGCAAATGAATGCGCAACAAGGGATCTCTAACCTTCAAACTGTTTGAGGGAGAATACTCTATGATATGATTAAGAATCTCTGGCCAGAGTATGAATGAGATTTAGGAAGTCGTTCCAAATCACATTCAAGGTAATCATATAAGTAAATGAATCACATTGGATAGTAGATATGAATAAACTATCAAACCAAACAATGTGGTCAAGAGTATTATATTAGAGAAAGACCGTATTGCATTGTAATCCTAAACTGAATAGGTTCTCCACCTTTTTTGATTAGCTTGGGTAACCATGACATACTGCTAGGTGTCACTCATGGTTTGTGGAAGCCCTAAACATGTATAATCACTAAAGGGAGAATTGAAAGTAAGTTTCAATTCACAATCAATTTGAAAGAGTTCTAATCGTCCACTGCCTCGCTAAAAGGAACCTAATGGATCGCACACCGTGTAAGGTAATGCTTGAAGGATTTGACGGAGATGAGTAAGGACGATTAAATGGTTTAATTGTTTATGGCAAGAATTAATTAATATGTTAATTAATCAAACGAATAAGTTCGTTTTAAATCTTGAGTTAGTTTTGGGCCTTAAAGCCCAAATTGGGCTTCGAATCGTCAAGCCCATTAGCTTAAGTTGTATGACAACTTAACAAACAAAATTCAAGAAGCCCAAAACAGCCCAAAGGCTTGGGAAAACCGGCCATAGAGAGAGGAAGGGCCTTTTGGTCCAAAATGCATACAAAAGTTGAAAGCATAGAAGAGGTATCTTTGCTCCATCCTCATTAGGGTTTTCTAAGGATGAAAAGTGAGAAAAACTCTCTCTCTTTTCTCTCTAGAATAGTCGGCCACCATGGGAGAGTTTACTAGCATTTAACACTTCCATGGCCACTCATCTTCTTCCTCAACCATCCTTGGTGTCGGAACTTAGAGGTCTCCAACTTTGGGGACTTTTGGAGAAACCAATTCTTCCATCCATATCCAAGAAGGCATGGAGCCAAGAAGCAAAGTTCCTCCATCCACATCCATGGAGCCAAGGATTAAGGTGACAAAGGAAAGAAGGCCCTCACATGGGTGATTAACCTTTGCTAAGCAAAGAGGTGCTTCAAAGATATAAAGTTTCCCAACTCACTTTGTTTTGAGTTGAGTCTTGGTTCACCCTTCTACTAGGCTTTGAATTTCATGGGTAATGTTTTGTTTTGAATGCATACAAGCATGATTCCGCCTTTAATTGTTAATTGCATACCTCGATTGACTGCTAAATGTGGAGACGTTAACAATGGTTTTCATAAAGTACAACTATTCAATTTCTCGTTAACCGGCTCAGCGTTTGCATGGTACATCAACCTCCCACCCAACTCTATCCAAAAACGGGAGGAACTAGTAGGGAAATTTCATAAGAAATTATATCGGCTAGGGATGGAAATATCAATCTCTTCTTTGGCCAGGATGGCTTAATCATCTGACGAGTCATTCGTACGAGGTTTAAGTCAGCAAGAAACTGGTGCCGAGTACCCCTTCTTGAAATCAAGTTTGTTAGGCTTGCCATAAATGGCATGGATGTGGAGTACAAAAAGAAATTCTTAGGGGCAAGCTTTCGAGATATGTACGAACTGGCTCAACATGTCGAGCAATATGATTATTTTCTCTGAGAAGAGAAAATCTCAAAATCCCCAACCTGAGGGATGATCTACAAAAATCCAATGGTAAGTTATGCACCGACCGAAGGCGAAGAGTCCCAATATGCTAGCATAGATGTGGCCGAGATAGTAATTGACAAACCATACGTATGCAAAGCGTTGGCTCAGACTAATTCCAAAGATGTCAAAACCTGCTCAGCCTCTGTGGAAGCTGCTGTTAAAATGTCAAAGGTCTACACTTTCGACATCACCAAGCCGATGCCATCTTCGACTAGTTGTTACTTGAAAAAATCGTCAAGCTTCGGCTAGGGTATAATATTCCCAAGGTTGAAGATTTGAAAGGAAAGACGTATTGCAAATACCACAACTCAAACAAGCATACAACAAATAATTGTGTTGTATTTCGCGACACCAGCCATAGTTGGATTGACAATGGCAAACTCAAGTTTCTTGAAAAACCTCCAATGGTCGTTGACGCCAATCATTTCCCTTTGGTGATGGTAAGCATGGTAGATGCTCATTTACCCAAAGACAAGAGAAAAGGAAAAGCCGAATTCATCCTGATGCAGTATGTTTCTCGACCGCGATTGAAAGTTGATCTATCTTCAGACAAGCCATCGAAATACTTTTCAAACCCATCTTATTCCGAGTCAATGTTAGACTCTAGCATAGAGGAAGTTGATGGATCGATGGTTTTATGTAGTTGGTGCAAATCAAATGGCATCATAACTAAGCCAAAGGAACAACCACTTCGGGCTGAAGCATCACAACTGGCGGTGGTAGCTGCGGCATCATCTTAAAAAGTGCTTAGTGCAGGCCAACACTAGAAAGTTTTCAATAGGCTCGGCCCTCAAACATAGAATAACAAGTCGTCTTGAGCTAGACGACGACTTGATTTCGACGCACCATTTTACAATGAAGATTATTATGCGTTTAACTATGGTAACTCAAGTTCACCCGCGAACCGGTGAACTTTCAAGCCACCTGAGTCACACGACTAACCTTGGTATAGCTATAACTCCCCTACTGGTGCTATACTATGTTGTCCAAATCGTAGAAACGCCGCCACTAGAGAATAGACTGTATGGCTCGTTGACAAGTAGCCCAGGCTACCCTAGCTACTAAATGGTAGCCGAAAAAAATGGTGGGTAACGAGGATGACTGACAACCTCCAACAATCATGACCGAGTTGCTTCAAGGAAAGAAGGTAATCAATTGTAATTTTGAAACCACAATTGAAGAGTTCGAGAAGCGAATTAAGCTCATTCTTCGACCTGGGGAGATGAAAGCTC